CAACGCTCTAAGAAGACCTACGAAACCTTGCTAATCATTGAAATCGCCGAGGTTCAAGCCATCGAATGATTGCTAGAAGTCTGTAGAAAAAGTGGGAAAGGTCAAAGTGCAAAAGGTCATCTCCTAGAAAGGTAGAAAAAAACGCATCCTAATGACAGAATTATATTGAGTTTTTTATTTTACTGCTTTTGAAACAGTGTTATAAAATAATAAATGTTAATCCAACGATCCCAAGTGTTATACAAGACATTTTACGCCAGCTGGGGATTGAAACCGCGTCTGATCTATACCAGGGGTGCGTCCCACCGCCACACCAGCTAGCTTACCGCATGCCATGAGTCTTTCTTCGATATAAAGCATCGAGGCTATTAGCAACTATATTAAGAAACAGTGCTAGCAGTTCGGTTACCTTGGAGGTGTAGCAGCAGCACGCGCGCCCGATTTCGGTGAACCGCGGGTTCAACTCCCGACAGGACTGAATGTTTTGCATGTTCTTCGACATCCTTGAATACAATCTTGACACTTACAACAATAATGGGCTCAAGACACTGCATTTAATTTCATTTTGCCATCTAGTTATTTTGCTTCAACACACACTTCATTAAGATTTATAAAGAACATATATCAAATATAGATAGATCAAACATAATAGATATCAAATATAAATAAATCTGATATAAATAGATCAAACATAATAGGCACCATTCCAGACTTTCGATCTTTTAACATCATCTGGAGCATTTTCATGCTTATAAGGACAATGCCTGCAGCCGTTACCACAACAACTGCCTCTGTACAGATGTTGAGACACAGTTAACACAACATAACCAGTGAATGGATCCTTGTAGGTCAATTTTTCGTTGTTCAACTGCTTTCAGATGGGCCATGTATATTGTCCGTTCGTCCCTCGTGAGGCTATTGTAAACTTTCCACGGAACCTTCACTTTAGCCATGGACGCTTCGAAGAGCACATAATTTGCAAGTTTTTCGCCATTCTTCCATGGTACCAGGTCGAAAGCCGCTTTTTCCCTCTCCCTTTGGTTTATAATAGACTGGAGCCGCATCCTCCTTCACCAGACGAACGTCACCGCTTGAAGTGGAGACAGTTATATCGGAACTGGTTGTGGCTACCAGCAATTTATGGAGAAGTCAGCTCGGGATCTAAAATTTACTTTGTGGAAACACCGAACCTGTTATATAATATTGCTTTATTCTACTGCTTCTAAGAAGAGTTTTGATGCTCTGATGCAGGCATATCTGCTTTATCGGAGAAACGAAGGCATGATTGAACAGAAAACTGTCATTGCAGTCATTTTTGAGTTACGCATGTCAGTGCTCTGTCAAACAGGGCTGACTTATGGAGCCCGATACACGTGTTTTCGATCTTGCGATCTCGTCAGTCGGGCAGTTACCCTTCTCGTCTTTTGCTAATTTCTGTGGATGCTCCAGTCCCCAACACTAAGAGTTAGCGACGACGTACGCTTTACACTCTATGTCCAGTGAAAAACTCACCGAACATAGAGTGTTGTACACTCGATTGCTCGTGGCAAGTATATTCAATGTATCATAACTTTCAACTCGAGTGTTTTCTTAAGACCACAGCTCAAAATTCAATATGCCTTGCAATCATTTTTGAGCCACGCATGTCAGTGGTTTTTCACTGGATATAGAGTATAAAGCGTTCGTCGTCGCTAACTCTTAGTGTGGGGACTGGAGCACCCACAGAGATTAGCAAAAGACGAGAAAGGGTAACTGCCCGACTGACAAGATCGCAAGATCGAAACACGTGTATCGGGCTCTATAAGTCAGCCCTGTTTGACAGACCACTGACATGAGTGGCTCAAAAATGATTGCAAGGCATATTATATTTTTAAGCTGTCTTGAGAAAACACTCGAAACGAAAGAAAACTGTCAGTGCTCTCAATACTAACAGGAGATCTAAAAGCAGTGAGAGGTACGCAAAACATTTGACTACATGCGGGAGTTGAACATGCCGTCCACCCAAATTTGGAGCGCGTACTACCACTACACTACCGATGGCCACCGCTTGCTACCATTCTTTCTCCGATATCTCTTATCCAAGCTGTCAGCAAGAAACCTTTAACGGGTTTGATCGGATAAACACATGCCAGCAGTAAACCCAGTTATGCTGACAACTATGATACGTACACTATCTGAAGTTAGGGGCGCCTTCAGTGTGAGTGAAGCACGGGTTCAACTCCTGCGTAGGGTTGGATGCTTTGCATAGTAATTAGTACTCCTAGACATCTCTTCAACACGTTGAGGACCAAGTGCATGAAATTTCATGCACCGACCGCGGCACCGCAACAGGGCAATCAGCATTAGCGTGCTACGCAGTGGAATTAAAGGAAATCAAGCCACGCGATTTAACTCATTTTCTCTTCACCCATTTTCCATAATGCAAAGCGCGAAACTCTGATTGGAAAACTCGTTTCATTCAACGTACAACTTCTATAAGGAATTATATATGGACTTTTCAGTATGCACCTAGAGAAAGGGTATAAAGAGAGCGCAATGATCTATTTGAGGGATCTGAGGACTTCCTCGCTCTCAAAAATGTGTTGTTTTAGAGGAAGTATTTCCGTCGTTTCTACTAATCATGCCCTTGTTGACGTCTTTTCTACCATATTCTATCACATAATCACGATAATCTCCTCTTTAGTGACAAGGAAAGCTGAATTTTACTAGGAATTCACCACATTGCCATTGAAGCACGCCCACCCACCGACGACCCTGTCGCGCTACTGTGTTAGTGTTTGTAAACTGAAACACTAACCGTCTCCCGATGATTTAGATTTTCTTTTCTCCAACAAAGCAACTATACCTCCATCACTTTGACTGATGTCTAAACATGAAAGCACAGAACAAAGTCCATCGAGACACCTGGAGCCGTAAGAGGTAAAGTAAAGTTTTTCGCTAGTTGACTTCTTTAGAAAAAAAGCATCCCAATCATAAGATTTGTTGGAAATAAACGGGCCATGAAATTAACCCTTTGGTGCTAAAATGTCCACGCATGTTACTTGAGATCAAACGGCGGTCACCCTCAAGAATAAGCGGATATTTCATTACTACATCTCACATTATGACACTAAACGAGAATTTGTGTGACTAATTTTTTTATTATATTAGTTACATGGCTCGCTATCAAAATCTACTATGGCTGCACTTGATTTATTCCTCGTCATTCATCCTCCACTAAAGTCCTTGAACATCTCTGTCTCGGCAGGTGCTTGACAACTTCGTCTTCTCTATGACAGCTAAAGAATGCTTTGGTCGAGACGATCCAGTTATGTATCAAATCTTTCGTTTTGAGCGTTTTCTTGAGACCACATCTCAAATTTCAATATGCCTGGTAATTATTTTTTGAGCCACGCATGTCAGTGGTCGATCGAAGAGGGCTGACTTATGAAGACCCATACACGTGTTTCAATCTCGCGACTCTTTATAGTCTTGGAGGTAGCCGAGCTGAGGCAATCACTAAGATGCTTGTTGACTGACTACAAAAGATTATTGAGGAAAGGGATCAAACCAGTCCATGCAAACCAGTGCCTTGCTTCCTGATACTCCGCATCACTAGCTACTGGGTTACCTCATCCTGTACAGAATAACGTTCTTATTTCCGTTGTGGTACCCTGTGGTCGCCAATTTCGCATAAATCTATTGATGTCATCAAAACAACCAAACGAGCACATACAGGTTCATATTCTGTAATTGTAAGTAAAGCCGTGCCAAAATGAGGAATTTTTCAAACTTGGCTTTCCTCGAAGCCAAAGATCGGTTCCCTATAGCGCACTCAGCCAACCATCTAGGGTTTATTGAACAAAAAAAGCTGTAATTTACAATGGCAGTAGTAGTGATTGCAGTACACTGTGCTATCTTGCTGTGGTCTAAGATAGTAGTATAACTATCGTAACTAAGATAACCCTACTCTGGTTGAGGCCACCATCGTCCTGAAGCATGTTGAACCGAAGAGACGAGAGGAGAGTAAGTCCTAGATAGAAGTCGTGTCGTTAGACCACTGGCCCGGGTGAACGCGGCAAGTAAATCCATCGCCTGGAAACTAAAAACAATTTACCAAAGAAAACAAATGATTAGAGATAAAAGTGAAAATATACGTAGATCAAACCATTACTCGGACAAGCTTAAACGAGTATGTGATATGTTTTAACCAAAAAGTTCTGCGAAAAAAATAATTAGGCAATAAGTAGCAGTCAAAACATTATAATTTCTCATTGTCAGCTCTATCTATTAAACTCTGTAAAAACCATCTATAAATAAGGGGATTTAGAGAGATTCCAGACACAGAAGAGAACGAAAGATTTCTTCAGATTTTTTGGACTTTTTCGTATAAATTCGGCATGAATTACGATAGTATACCGTTTTTGATAGATCAAAGCTTTTTCCATTAATAAGTCAAAAGGAAAAAAATTTCGGCACTAAGGGAACAAATGAAAAACCGACTTCATTCGTTGGACAGGAACTTTTCATCGGAGTGTTAGTAACCGTTCGATGGCTGAGACTTCAGGCTACAACCCTACGTCGCCGGTTTTCAAAATACCCTTTTATAACGCTGTAAACTCCAAAATAAAACCAACCTCAGACGCGCACATTTCTCGCCGAGCAGAGCCCTCTCTTTGGACTATTAGTAGTCACACGATAGCGTAATGGTTGGCTCTGTCGGGGCGAGAGATACGCACGTGTGTAACGCAAGGAATTTCCTTTTGTAAAGACTTTAAAAACAGTCTTTTATAAAAATCGGCGACGAATGGTTGTAGCCAGGAACCTCAGCTTTCGAATGATCACCAACACTCCTATGAAAACTTTCGCGTCAGGCTGGACTAGAACCCGCACCTCACTCTATCCGAGAATCGTGTGCTCTATCCGTTACACTACTGGAGCCCATTTTGCACATCTCTTTCTGCGCTATAGCGCACCTATCTGTGCACCACATAGCGTAGAAAGAGTAGGGTGCAAAGTGGGCGTCAATAGTGCAACGGAAAGAGCACACGAATTCCCGGAAAGAGTGAGGTGCGGGTTCTAGTCCCGCCTGAGGCGAAAGTTCTGCACATCACTCTAAGTTATTTAGAACATCACACCACCGCTAGAAGCGGTTAAATAGAAAGAACATCATTTGATCTACAATACTCCTGTGAAAAGTTCCTCCACGAGATCGATTTTTGTTTCTGGAACCCAGATAGCAATAAAGTGCCAAAATCTCTTTTATTTTTAGAAAAATTAGAAAAACCAGAAAATTTTCAAAATTAAAAAAAATTACGAGGACGGAAACACCAGAACAAGCCAGAGCACACCAAAACTGCTGTAGAGATTTATGACGATTTTGAGGATTCTATGGAATAAGATTATTATAACCTCGCATTTCGACTTATGAGCGCATGTGGCGCAGTGGTTAAAGGTGCTCTGCGTCGCACACGAGGTCAATGGTTCGATCTCGCGCTCAAGGCTCACCAAGCCATCCATCCCTTTGGGGTCGGTAAACTGATACCAGACAGGTCTCAGACTTGTCTAGGAGGATAAGCAGCACTGACTCGGTTCAGCGGGAGGCCACTGCGAGTCACTGTGAAGGCCAGATGTGCATTTGATCACCTCAAACGAAGTTCAATTTTGAAGTCGAATGCATGGCGCATCCCTCAGGGATTGATCAACGCCGAGAGCTTTATCCTTTATTTTTTTTTCGACTTGAAAAGATAAAAAAGGGATAAAGCTCTCCGCGTAGATCCATCCCTGAGGGATGCGCCATGCATTCGTCTTCAATTTTTAACTTCGCTTGAGGCAATTGAATGCATATCTGGTCTTTACAATGACTCGCGGTGGCCTCCCGCTGAACCGAGTCAGTGCTGCTTATCCTCCCAGACAAGTTTGAGACCTGTGTGGTACCAATTTACCGACCCCGGAGGAATGGATGGCTTGGTGAGCCATGAGCGCGAGATCGAACCACTGACCTCGTGTGCGACGCAGGACACCTCTAACCACTGCGTCACATGCGCTCTCTACTTCGACTTATCAAACTAAACATTGGTATACCGTCGAAACAGCGTGTTCTGAGCGGACGTGGTGAATTTATACGAACTAAAATCTGAAAACTAAAAAAATCTTTTCTCCTCAGTTTAAAATCCTCTCAATCCTCTCAATTTATTGATTTTGAACGACAAAAATCGATAACTCAAGACAGCTAATCAATAATCAATCAATTCAATTAATAAAGAACCCACCACAATTACGAGAGCAAGGAAACCACACTGATCACGTTTGAAGTGCACAGAAGTGCACTTTCTCCCTGACTTTACGTCAATTTATCCTTCGTTGGCGCAGGACGAGTGCCCACCCACCTGGGAACGACACCAAACCCCGGATCTCCAAAACCCTCAAGCCCTAACCCGCTAGAGGAGTGGTTTGGTGAGTTGTAAGGTTTTTTCTTTTACAAAATAAAATATTTCCTCTGAGCAGTGTTGTCGCAAAATATCAGCGAGAGATCGTGAAAATAGAGGGTTAGGGATCGGTTCGCAACGTGCAATTTGAGACGAATCGGTCCAGTGAATTTATTTATTTATTTATCTTTTGTTTATTCGATGACGTCATCGTGTGTAAAATGTTTCGCAGCGGATTCCTTCCTTCGTACCTATCCGACTTGTCCAGTTGTCACCGGGGAAAGGGGAAGGAGAAAGGGAAGCGGAAGGGGATTGTTCAAAAATGGCTGGGAAGACCCACAGTCATCCGTCAGTTGCCCGGAGCGGAGCAGCTCCTAGTAGATCAAGGGGAAAGCGGAACATCTCGAAGTAAGCAGCTTGAATGCATATCGATTTAGCTCTCCCAAGCCTTTTGATCGGAGATCAATTCCATAAACTTTAGAGGCTGTTAAAAATTGATCTTCACCCTTTTAGTCTGAATTTAATTAAATTTTATTTTAGTTTTGAATTTTGATAATCTCAAAAAATTTTATATTCAAGTGTGAAAATGCTACTGTAAGAGGGAAATATGTCCCTAACTATACCACATTGAATTAACTGTTTGTGTTTCCGAGAATGCTGAGTGATATGCTGCAACACTTTCGGGACCGCAGACCCAACGTTCTGCGTCTCTGACGCCCCGCGTGTTGCGTCTAACATTGCCGTTTAACAACGGAGCGACGCCCGCGGGCGATTGGAGACGCGAACCATTGGGTCCATGGTCTCGGAAGGGTTAAACGTCGAGCGGGAGTTGAATCGTGTCGCACCCTTTCTGTGGGAGCGTGCTGACCACCGCACTGCCGGATCTTCTATTCTGCTACCACTCTTTTCTTTGGGGAGGATGACACGTGGGTTCAATTCCCGTTCAACGCCTAACACTTTCGGAACCGTGGACTCAACTGTCTGCTTCTTTGACCCCCCGCGTGTTGCGTCCAACAGTGCCGTTTAACGACGGAGCCTGCCGCGTCTAACAAGGGCATGCTGCCGGTTAGACATTATTGTTAGACACAACCTGCGGGAGGTTAGAGACGCGAGCGGTTGGATCTATGGTCCCGAAAGTGTTAGGCATTGAACGAGAGTTGAACCCACGTTTCATCCTCACCAAAGAAAGAGTGGTAGTAGAACAGAAGATCCGATAGTGCGGTGGTTAGCACGCTCCCACAGAAAGGGTGCGACACAGGTTAAACTCCCGCTCGACGTTTAATTTTTCCGGGACCATGGACATAATCGTCTGCCGTTCCAAGCCCAGTGTGCTTCATCTAGCCAATGGCGTCTAGCAGTGGAGTGTGCTGCGTCTAACAACCCCGTCTAACAATCGCGTATAACCCTCAGCGTGTCCTTCTGAGGCTCAGCGCGCTACGTTGTTAGACGCCATTATTAGACGCAACACGTTGGAGACTGATCACGCAGCGGGTTGCGTTCATGACCCCGAAAGGGTTAAACGTTGATTGGGAGTTGAAACCTGCGTCTCATCATCACCAAGGAAAGTTTGGTAGCAAAAGAGAGGATCCAGTAGTGCGGTGGTCAGCACGCCCCCACAGAAAGGGTGGGACACGGGTTCAGCTCCGGCCAGGGTTATCAATGCCTTCCATATCACTTATTGACCATTCTCTAGGTGTTTTACTTCAGGTGGTTTCAACCAAAGATGGCATCACTAAGTAAAATGATTCCATCAGTGTCTCGTGGGTTTCTAAAACCCACCACTTTTATTATGCCAACTCTTCGGCAATCGCATGCTAATCTCTTTCGTAAACGACCTGCTCATCTCGTTGTCAACAGGATTAAGGTGAGTTTACATCACATATACACTATATATATATATATATATACATATATGTATTCATATATATATATATATACGTAATGTGTATATGTACACGTATATATGTATATATACTCTTATACGTGTATATGTACATACATATATATACATGTAGATGCGTGTGTATACATACAGTGCACATATGCATAAATATGTCCATTTACACATGCTACACATATGCACACGTATATATACATCCGTACGTATACACGCGTAAACAAATATATTTATATATACATGTATATATATACATTATATATACATATATATATATATATATATATATATACGTACATATATTTTCATTGTGTGGGCAGTTGCTTTAGTTTTGTAGAAATCTACTTTTCCGTCGGGCGGTTTTTTTCCCATTTGTTGCAATGTTTGATTACCCAAGTTTTGTATCCCTCATTTCGGAGTTACTACTCACCTCTCTTTGTTATTTTTGATATAGAATATACATTTGTTTTCTGCAGTAGTTAGAGTTAATATGAACTTGTGTGTAGGTACTTTTTCTTTGTTCAGGATTACTGCCATTTCTACTTTATCGGAATCGGTATTTTACCAGTTGTTATCTGCCTTGCTTACAACCACATCGTCTATGGAACCTGTGAACTACAGGATTATCCTGAAGTTAGCACTGTTTTCATTCATCTGGATGTGCTTTATTTGACAGAAGTAGTAGTATCTAGTGGTGAAGAATCAGTAGTGTTGCTGGAGTTTCATGGACCAAAGACACTGAATGACGAAATTCAAACTGAAATTTTTTTGTGTCCCAAGTTTTCCATGCTCTACCACCAGAGGATAGCTCTCGGCAATGATCAATTTGTAAAGGATACATCATGCATTCGACCTCATTAAACATCGCCTAATGTAGCTGAAGGCGCATTCTGGCCTCGCAATGTATGTCAGTGCCCTCCTCGGCAAGTCTTGTACTGATTCGCTGATCTAGACGGCTTGGTGAGGCGTGAGTACGGGAGCCAATCGTCGACCACGTGTCTATCGCAAGGCGTCTCTAACCGCTGCGCCGCACGCGCCCTCTCATGAGCATGTTAAAGCCAAAAAGGATAAAGCTCTCGGCGTTGATCAATCCCTGAGGGATGGGCCATACATTCGCCTCCATTTTTTAGCTTTGTTTGAGGTGATTGAATGCATATCTAGCCTTAACAATGACTCGATGGTAGCCTCTCGCTGAACCGAGTCAGTGCTGCTTATCCTCCCAGACAAGTCTGAGACCAGTCTGGTACCAATTTACTGACCCCGGAGGGATGGATGGCTTGGTGAGCCATGGCCGCGAGATCGAACCATTGACCTCGTGTGCGACGCAGAGCACCTCTAACCACTGCGCACATGCGCCGTGATCATGCTTTCCGTAAAGTGTGCATACCGATTTTGAGTGATTTTAGAAGAACGAATGAATCGTAGAGGTCCACTCTTTCGATCTTTAGTCTTTTTTTTCATCAAATCGTCGCTCAGTGCAAGTTCCCTATTCGACGTCTAAGCATCTGAATCTTGTTAGCTTGATATCTTGAAAGGCTACGCAGTGCATGCCGCTTATGCTTAGGCATACATCCGTCAGTTCGACAGGCGATGCTCAAAGCTCTTGAGAAGTAGGAAATAAATAAATATTTGCTACTTATCAAGATCGCTAGTGTCTGCTAAGGCAAAAGGGAGTGAGTATTGAGTTATCGCTTCGTGAGTTTGTCAGAGCAACACTGGTGATTTGGATATTCTATCGAGTTGAGAGCGAGTGTGGCACACTGGTCAGAAGT